GGGGGGGGGGGGGGGGGGGGGGGGGGGGGGGGGGGGGGAGTAACGGTAATAAGTGAATACAATACAAATGATGATCGAAACGGTATTTCTGTCTTTTATATTTCATATATATTTTGATAGTTTCGTTTCTTTTGCTTGCGCTATTCATACTAAGCGTACATAACAGGACTATATAAAAAGGAAAATGGAACTTGAAAGGCAAAAGTCAATGATACGAGAATGCAATGTTCAATCTTAGATACGAGAATGCAATGGCGTACATAATCTTAAGAACTCTACTCATATTGCTCGTTTTTAAAGCAATATTTGACGAATTATCGTATGAGAATTCGACTATACAGATTAACAAAACTGTCAGCAGAAAATGCGAAAGCCTTGTGGTGGTTATCCGTTTGAATTCCGAATTTAAGGCAAATATATTTGCTTGGAGGGCGACAAAGACAACGGCGAAATGTAATTCAAAGGCCTCGAGGCTGATTATTGGGGGGAAACAAGCTCTCCGTTTCATAGAGTATGCGTTGGCAGCTATTATTCTACAACGATCGGGTGATGTGGCTATATTATTGAATCCTGGTCCAAGGGACATGAATCTACCGGTGAACCATCTTCACTTTGGGCAACTTAATGTCAATGGTTTAAGAAATAAAACACACGAAGTTCAGGATATGCTTTTGAATTCTGGAATGCACTTTCTTGGCCTGACAGAGACGAAGCTAGATGATGTAGTTTTAGACGGATCGCTGGTAATCGAAGGGTATCAGTTTCTGAAAAAGAACAGAGACGCGAGGGGAGGCGGAATAGGTCTATACTATAAGGACGCTTTTGTATGTAAAGCAAGGGACGATCTAGCTTCTCCTGATATTGAAGCTTTATGGGTAGAAATTTATAGACACCGTGCACCAACGATGCTACTTGGAATCTTTTACTGCCCACCGAAGTCTAATAGCGCTTATATGTCAAAAGTGTTCGATTCCTGGGAAAAAGCAACCGATGAAAATAAGGCGACCTATATTCTAGGCGACTTTAACAAAAATTGGTTCGATGAGGAAGAGTCGGCGTTAATGAGGTATTATGCTAACATTTGTTGTTTTACTCAAGCAGTCGAGCAGTCTACACGGACAGTGCGAACAGCTAGTTATAATGCATCTACATGTCTTGACCTAGTATTTACAAACAGAGCCGAACAAGATCTGTATAAATGCGAAGTTATTCAAATATGCTTCAGTGACCACGATTTTACAGTATTATCGAATAGGACTAAAATTCCCAAAGGACCGGGTAGAGTGGTTTACAAACGTAGTTACAAACACTTTTCTAAAGACAAATTCATTAGCGATCTGAAATTAATTCCGTTTTGGTTGGTCGAACTGTCAGATGACCCAAATGAAGCACTAAATACTTTCATCCATTTGTTTACGGACATTGTAGATATTTACGCACCTTTAAAGAAATTTACGATCAAAGCAAAACCGGCACCATGGCTAACGGAGAGAATTCGTGACTTGATGAACCTCAGAGACGCAGCTAAGTTAGAAGCAAAAAAATCTGGTTTTCTTTCGGACTGGGCTGTTTATCGAAAACTGAGAAACTATGTTGTAAAAATGAATAGAGATAGTAAGAAAGAATTCTACTTGGACGCCATAAACAAGAGCGAGAAAAACCCAAAGTCTATGTGGAACACTATCAACGGTCTGTTAGGTAGATCCAATCACGTCACACCAACAAGCGTAGAATGTAATGGAGAGGTTTTTACTAAGTCAAAGGATATAGCAAATCATTTTTCTAAGTTTTTCGAACAAAAAGTTCTGAAGTTCAGATCGGAAATGAGCGATGCAATCGATCGTGAGTACGTGTCTGACTCAATTAGCAAAGTCATGGCTGGTAAATATTGTCACCCGGCATTTGAATTCACTCCACAAAGTCTATCTATTGTCAAAGGACATCTGAGTAATCTTCCGAACAGTAAAACATCCGGAGTGGATAATATTGACAATTATTTACTTAATATTGCATCTGAAGTCATTGCTGCACCTATCAGGCATATTCTAAATTGTTCATTTACAACATCAACGTTTCCAGATCAATGGAAAATTGCTAAATTACGTCCGATTCCTAAAGATAGAAAAAAACCTTTTGATGATGAGAACTCTCGTCCTATTAGTCAGTTAAATATTCTAAGTAAACTGCATGAGAAAGCAGCGTTTCAGCAAATCAATCAGTATCTCTCGGTGAACAAAATAATGGTGATGAATCAACATGCCTACAGAGAAAACCATAGTACAGAGACAGCACTAATTCAGTTAACAGACGACTGTCTAAGAAACATGGAAAACGGACTGCTCACCGGTGTAGCATTGTTAGACTTTAGTGCTGCTTTTGATCTAGTTGATCATGATTTACTATTGTTGAAACTGAAAGACTATAATTTTTCTGAAGGGGCCATCGACTGGATCAAATCATATCTCACAGGCAGAATTTCGATGGTTAACATAAACGGTGAATTTTCTAGTCCAACGAAAATTGTCTGTGGAGTACCCCAAGGAAGTTGTCTTGGACCTATGCTGTTTAGTCTATTCATTAACGATTTACCATCTGTACTGGATACAGCTAGTATTACCTTGTATGCTGATGACAGCACTCCATACCATGTGGCAGAAAATGTCAATTTAATATCAGAAAATCTTCATAATGATCTACTTAACGTCGAGGAATGGATCCGGAAAAATCGTCTGGTGCTAAATGTGGAGAAAACTAAAAGTATCCTAATTGGAGGTCGCCAAAGGATTAAAGTAGCACAGCCACTGAACCTAAGTATGAAGAACAAAAGCATTACTCAGTATTCATGTGTCAAACTTCTGAGAGTGCAGATGGATGAGGCATTAAGTTGGAAACCCCATTGCGATGGTCTTTTGGAGGATTGTTCAAAAGCGCTCGGTCTGTTGTATAGATTTAGTAAATACATACCAAAAACTGCTTTAAGATCTATTGCGGATGCACTTATACTATCGAAACTCAACTACTGCTGTACGGTTTGGGGTTCAGCTCTGAATCGGAATTCTTTAGACTTTCTCCAAATACTTCAAAACAAAGTCGCTAGATTGATCGTAGGTTGTAAAATTCATGAAAAATCCAGAAAAGAACTACACAATGAACTTAACTGGCTAACGGTCAGACAAAGAATACACATGAGAACAGCTATGATTATACATAGAACACTCTACTGGAAGGAACCATTTACTATATTTATGCAACTTCATCCTCTCATCATTACCCATGAACATGAGACAAGATTCGCATCGAAGTGTAAAGGTGATAAGTTACTACTTGCGAAACCTGTTTATAAGAAGAAAACATTCCTTGCTAGAGCGTTTACAACAAGAGGAATAGAAATTTGGAACAATTTAAGTGTAGAGACAAAACACATAGTAATGAAAGGAGCTTTTAAATCTGCTCTTCGTAAACAGTTGGCGTGGTTTATTTGATATATATACCGAATAAGCACTGCTATTACTATTGTTATGACTAAATTTTATATTGTAATTTTGTATAGCATCGTAGTTTTTAGTAAACTATATACATATATATATATATTTAAAACTTAATATACCATAGCGTAGACCTCGTGTAAACTAGCATTATAGCTAACTGGGGATCTATTTTAAATACAAATAAAAATACAAAACCATGATATAGGCACTTTAACACGCTCTTTCCATGTTTGCGATGCTTTGCGATCATAACCTGACAACGATTGCCGGTCATCTGTTGTTGTTTTGATTTCACCACTGATTTCTCCCCATGGATGATGAGATGGCTAAATGGCTAATGGAACGAGGGAATATATATACTCTAAAAACACTCTGGTTAAATTTGGGTTAATTCAACCAGGATGGGGTTAAAAATCTACCTACACAATCCTGGTTAAAAAAATTAAACCATTTTCCTGGTTAAAAGTCCAAAGAAGTATGGCCAGATTTTTGTTGAATCAATAATTTTTAACCAGGAAATTAGTTAATTTAACCAGGAATGTGCTAGGTAGTTTATTGATCCAGTTCCTGGTTGAATTTAACCAGAGTGT